TTCATGCGACCATATAGCCTCGTCGGTACCAAAAACCGCTCCCGTTCACCATCCCTGTCGCTGACTTTAAACTGCCTGTACAGTCGGCTGTTTCTGCCGAAGCTCCCCCGAGCGGCGGATGTCACCGTACGATAGGTAATACTAAGATAGTCATTATGATTGTGATGAGAGGCAAGACATGACGGAGGTGTGATGAGGCACGCGGCAGACCGGGGCCGTAGCAGCACACTCGGCAGACCGGGGCCGTAGCAGCACACTCGGCAGACCGGGGCCGTAGCAGCACACTCGGCAGACCTGGGGCCGTAGCAGCACGGGGCCAAACGTAACTGGACTTAGAACAACAGCATGCAGTCATGCTGTCACACACACAGGCGTCCCTGCGTGCAATGTGGCGCCAAGAGTTGCGGAAGCATTCGGCGCGCTTACGGTCGTGCAGCCCCCACAATAACAATCAAATGGCTTTCACTCACTTGTGACTCTACACGTGAGTATTTTTGGAGGTCCATAGAACCACAAGGCACATGATTCAGGAGCAGTATTATCGTGATTCCCCACTCCCCCCTCGTTTCCTTAGTACTGCACACCTGCGTACATTCTAAGCAATGTTGTGCGGCCCGGGATAATCTGCCAGACAGCAGTGCTTACAAAAGGATATTTTCAAGAAACATGCCGAGTGTTGAGTTATTTTGACAATGAATTTTTTTGGTAACTCTCAATTAACAGCATTCAAGAGCTGCTTTGCCTACTTTCATTGCATTGTGGTTCTTGCAAAAAGATGTTTCCTCTCAGCTCAACACTTGAGAAAGTTCAGCACCGAGTCTGTTTATGGAATGACTCAGTCTCAGACTCATGAACCATTTTTGAGTTTTATCTACATTAAGTCATGCCTTAAATAAAACTTAGCTTGAAGACAATCGATTTCTCAAGCCTTCTTGAGCAACGAAAAAACACTGCCCCTAATACCCTTTAATGGCGGAGTACATTCTGAACACCACAATTTTGATGTACCGATGGCCTGGTTGTTGGTGATCGTGGTAACCTTCCATTACTGTCAATTCTCGGGAAAATTTTGGACGACTTTTCTTAAAATCCCGGCGTACATTCTTGGAGTCTATGGTTACTAGAGTTTTGTCGCAGCAACGGAGTCCGTTGCTAATGCCAAATGGTTGGCTACGTAATTTGGAATGAGATAATTCATTAGCATAACATTAGCTACCTTCAATAAATGATCAACATGTATTTCCTTGTGACATATTGCTGCCGCTACATGATGACCCCCCCCCCCCCCATTGCTCTTGAAGATATTAGTGCTATTAACTCTAACTGGCCCTGAGGATTTTTAAGAGCAGAGCAAAGCAGTGCTTGTTCTGTGAGCCCTAACCCCTACCACCCGATTGCGCAATTCCATGTCAACGGCAGAATTTGGTGGCAGAACCTTTACCTGCCGCAAGGCTCGGCATGGTCCATCCTGCCCTCTGACGTCATCTGACCTTTATCGCGGCCACTGCCACCGGCCGCAGGCCATACTTGTCAAGGGCATATGGCGACCGCCTAAAGCGACTCAAACTCGTGCCGCCACGGATGGGGGAATCGGAATACCGGAGCTGAAACCAACTGAGTCATTAGGAAGGACATTTCATCGGGGCAGCCATCGAGATTTCCAGAACATGTTTTTGAAGTGTGCCAAAAGCTGGCACATCGCCTTCGCAGTCATTCCATTAATACACGCAGCGGTGTGCCTCTGAAAATTGTGCGTAGTGCAGGGGCGGGGCAGATCTCTCCTAGCCCCTAGTGTGCAGGGGCGGGGCAGATCTCTCGTAGTGCAGGGGCGGGGCAGATCTCTCCTAGCCCCTAGTGTGCAGGGGCGGGGCAGATCTCTCGTAGTGCAGGGGCGGGGCAGATCTCTCCTAACCCCTCTACCATGCCAAGTACCGTGAGAGGAAGCGTACAAAACCCACCGGCTAGGTGGATACATGCAAAAGCTGGTGTGAGAAGCGTGGTGTGAAAAACTATGGCTCTAGATAATTTCCTCCGAGGCGAAATGAGGCAAAATATCCCAAATTTTGAATGCTTTGTGTGGTTTCGGTTGTCATCTCTGATCATCGTTGCCAGTGGCGCAAGTGGGGGGGGGGGGGGGAGGGGGGCGGAGGAGGCACTGGGGCACATGCCGCTCCCTTAGGTCCCGACATGATTGTTTGCTCTGCTCAAATGAGGGAGGGGGGGGGGGGGCGGAAGAGGCACTGGGGCACATGCCGCTCCCTTAGGTCCCGACATGATTGTTTGCTCTGCTCAAATGCACTTTTTCAGATGCGTCACCAATTTTGTTCGCCAGCTGGCCGCATCTTAACCCACATCTGTATAAGGCGATGTACTAAAATAGTTGTCCTGAAGACCATTCGATGCAGTCCACAGTTCTGTCCTTCTTGAGGACCCAACCTTTTAGTTTCTGAGCCACATGCCCGCCAGGATGTGCAGACTTTTTTCGCGATGACTATTTCAAGGTCACCCAGACATCCATGATGTCATAATAACGTCATTCAAATCATGCAATTTCATCGGCAATGCAGGGATTAAAGCCAAGAAAGGTGTAATTGTTGAGCTGTTCATATTTGGTGTTTGTGAGCAAGATTTCCAGATCTGGCGGCAGCCAAATGGCTCTCAGCCAATGTTGTGCACGGTGGGATGACATAATCAAACAATGGTGCACTGATGAGCATATTTACTAAACAGGGATATTGCGTCGTCCGGAGAACACTTTTCCACCTATACACAAATATACCAAACGTATACCAATGAACGTACCGTACAAGCATGCCAATAGTTATAAGTGAGCTTATTTCATCATACCTGATGCTGGCTTCAGTATCTTCAAATGTGGACCATTTCCTTAAACCTCTACTTTTTGGCATAGAAGTACTTGTTCTGATAATAACCGACCATTAGTATGCCAGGAGGTACCGCCTAAACAGCATCATGAAACACACGCTGTCCATATTGTGCCAACGTGACGTTTCACGTTGTGGCGCACAGTTTGAAACGTCACGTTGGCGTCATATAACCGATGTTTGCTTTAAGATATCGTTGCACCAGTACCCACTGGTAAAAAGGGTCGATAATTATTTAAATGAGAGCCCCTACCTCGCAAAACGGTGCACTATGTATGCAGTGCATTGCATGAAGCAGAAAAGTGGCGGTCTCAGCGCCACCTACTGCGGGCTAACGTCACACTCACTACGCGGGGTGTACAAATCGTTGCAGCGTTGGGCTCACTGCGCAGCTCTGTGCTCCATGCCCTCCTTCGATACTTAACCGTATCGTACCCATGCCAAGCTGACCAAACCAGACCCGCGCGTTAATTGGGAGGCAAAGTCCGTGCGCCAACTGAACAAACCAGTGCGTCGGCTGACCAACTCAGAACCAATCTCAATCGTAACACGTCAGTCTGCTAACCAGCTAAAGGGAGTGTTCTACAATTGTATGGGGCTTTGCACTGAAATAGCCGTTTTGGAGCGCATTCGGTGCAGTTCACAACCCTGCCCATCTTAAGGCCTTAGACCGTCCAGTTTTTGAGCTACACGCCCGCGAAGATGTGCAGGCCATTTCGTGCACAATGTTTCAGGCCTATTCAGACATGCATGGGGCCATCGCAACTTCATTCAAGTCCTGCCACTCCACAAACAAGGCGGCGTTCAATACCAGGAAGAGTATTATCGTCATTTACATCTGTATGTAATACATTAATACTATCGTTCAGATCTGGCGCCCGTAAGTACGATTGCCAAATATAGTGGGTGTTAATTGACTCTCAATCAATGTTGAGCGAGTTAGGGAACTTCAATCACGAATTACGTGATGCGCCACGTAACAAAAGAAGTTGGACATGGCTTCTGCACTTGCTAGTTATTACGAAAATACGACTTATAACACAATAACTAAAGAACAACACCATAGGTGAGGACGTGAATACAAGTAAACACCTTGAAGTGAGCTCGCTTACGAGCCCACGACGACATTTGTCTCAGGCTGCACTTCCATCGCCAGTGCCATCTGCCGGCGAATTTGAAAAGCTACAGGCGGGGGATAAGGTGCAATTGGCACTGGTAGTTTGGGAGCACCTCAATGTCGTATGCACGTTCCATGATGCAATCTCACAATGACGCATTGCGGAACGTAAGTTCTTAACACATGCTCACACACACGCACACACGCATGCACGCACGCACGCACGCACGCACGCACGCACGCACGCACGCACACACACGCACGCACGCACGCACGCACGCACGCACGCACGCACACACACACACACACACACAATCTCTCTCTCTCTCTCTCTCTCTCTCTCTCTCTCTCTCTCTCTCTCTCTCTCTCTCTCTCTCTCTCTCTCTCTCTCTCTCTCTCTCTCTCTCTCTCTCTCTCTCTCTCTCTCTCTCTCTCTCTCCTCTCTCTCTCTCTCTCTCCTCTCTCTCTCTCCTCTCTCTCTCCTCTCTCTCTCTCTCTCTCTCTCTCTCTCTCTCTCTCTCTCCCTCTCTCTCTCTCTCTCTCTTGTCTACAGAAGTATTTTCCACTTAAAAGTACATTCCACAATAAGGTATTGATATACTTTTAAGTACATCAATAATTCCCCTTAAAGCAAAGCAGATCCGTACGCCATTGCAGTGGTGCAATAAGGTCACAAATTTTCGGGAAAACCATTTTACAGTCGATTCTTTCCATTCAGTATCAAAGGATAAACTCCAGTTCATCACGAAAAATAAAGAAAGCGGTGACACCCCGGCCTAGGCCAGCGCACCAGACCAGGCCTGTTCTAGCGCACCAGACCAGACCTGTCCTGTGTGCCGGCTCACTAAACCAGGCTCTCACACCAGCTGACCAGACCCGTGCACCAGCTGACCAGACCCATGCTCCGGCTGATCAGACCCATGCCCCAGCTGACCAGACCTGTACGCCAGCTGACCAGACCCGTGCCCTAGCTGACCAACCCTGTGCGCCAATTGCAGAAGCGGGCTGACCTGACACTGCACCGGCTGGCGCACGGCGTCAATGCCCTGGTGACGCAGCGAGGCACGGTGGTGCGCCACCCTCCGTCACACTTTCGACATCCCACCCAGGAGGTGAGGCTCGCACTCCGCCCATTAGGCGATGCTCACATCCCACCCAGGAGGTGAGGTACGCTCCCCACCTAGGAGGTGAGGCAGGCACTGCAACTAGGAGGTGAGACCCACAACCCAACCAGGAGGTGAGGCTTGCTCCCGATCTAGGGGATGAGGGTCGCACCCCATCTGGGAGGCAAGTGTTGGTTCTCATTTCGTTGCCTATATTGTTCTAACTACTACTTGGACTGGCACTGAGGCACGGACTGCCAAATTGGTTTCCACGGTGGTACTGCTTTCTGGCCAAAACTTGAGGGCTTTTTTCTGTGATACGCTCAGCCTCAGGCCTGGGCGCATCCAGCGGTGAACTATCTAGCTCGTCGACTGCTCTTCGTTTGTTGTGGAAATGGTCGTTGAAACCAGACCACGAGAATTATCTAATGAAAGCAAACTTTCCTCGCACAATAGCCCGCTGCTTATAGCTCAATCCACTGCTCCAGTGAAATCGATGTTGCAAATTTGCAACAGCGACTTGCAGCAGATGATATCTTGTCCCCTTGGCGATACACAAATCAGGGGTAAAGTCCACCACAAGAACACATGCCATTTTGAATGTGACCAGACTCTGATGTTAATAAAACACTAGATTAAGTCAGACAAGTTTCAAATCCATAAAACACACGTAGCACTCCCAGCCACCACCGTCATTTTGTAACAGTCAACAGTAGTGATGAGAATGTCGGCTTGGCCAGTTCTTACCCTGAGATCAACCGGTCCGCATTATATTAGGAGCTGCATCCAATACTCAGAGAACACTCTCAATCGCGTATAACAAGGAGCTTCAGGCTTTTGTTGTCAATGCCAGGCCGGTGGTCGTCAGATCACGTGAGCGCATCCACGTTGGTCTCGAGTGTAGCGAGAGCTGCACCGACCGGTCACTTGCAAGGGTGCTGTGAAACGAGCAAACAATTTGATAAACGACTTCACCCATTAAACCTCTGAAGAAGAGGAACTGTAGGTCCTCGTGCAAACATTCAAATGTTTGCTGCGCATTTCCAGGCACGAAGGGAAAAACACACACGTTTTCCGATGCCATGCCTAAAATACTGCCGGACTGTAGGATAAAGGCTGAACACTTTCATATCATGGGACCAGCCTGCATTCGAACCCGAGACGCTTCCACATTCCCTGAAAGCTTTTGTACAAGCTATGATGACAGAAATGTCAGAAAGTCTGGAATAGCCCATCTGGGGATAGAACGACACGTAAAGTTTGGTGTTGACTTGGTTGCTACTAACAGCATCCCCACGGGGGCTTTAACGCTAAAATTGCGCAATATGCTCAGTTGAAGTGGCTAGCGCGCGTGAACGTCACAGATAGCTATTATTACTTAACGAGTCGTTTATAAATTTGTTCAAGGGAGTGTTCCATATTTGTATTGGGGTTTTGAACCGAAAGAGCCATGTTGAAGACCTTTTGATGCAGCATGCGGCTGTGTCCAGGAACCTGAAACACTTTGGTTCCTGATCTAGAAGACTGTGAAGATGTGCGAAAACAATCGTAGGAGAATATTTCAAAGGCATCTTGGCACTCATGACGTCATAATAAGGTCGTTCAAATCCTGGCATTCCATAATGAGCATGATAGTCGAGTCGTCCATATCTGGCGTTCGTGAACACGATTTCCAGGTAAAAAGGCCGCTAATTGGCTCTCGACCAACATTGTGCAAGGTACGATGACGTAATAAAAAATGGCACATCGAGGAGCATGTTTACCAAACAGACAAACTGTGTTGCCTTAAGTAGTCTGCCCTAGTTAAAAGCATACCGATAGTTAAAGGTGAGCTTGTTTCATCATATCTGATGCTTGCTTCAATATCTTCAAATCTAAAACACTCTTTAAGCAGTGAGAAACCGCTCTACCGTTGGCTTTCCAAACAAGGATATTTTTGGCGGTGCGTTAGGTAGCATTGCACAGCTGCATGATTACATGAGCCTCCGGATCTGAAGCCTGACCCTCTGCTTGACAGCGGTTCCGGTACACCAATGGCGGAGACAGGGAGCTCCTCAACTGGCACTGTTTCTTCAACGCGGTCTCCTGCTTCCGCCGGCGCCGGGGCAGCAGCACGCAGGTGGCGCCGCGCGGCGGCAGAAGGCGGAACCGGCCGGTGTCTACCCGAGTGCCGATGGTGTGGGGCTCCGGTCGGTTGTGAAGTACCCCCCGAGTCCCGCGCCGGCCACAACCCCGCCGAAGGAGGATCGACCGCCGGACGGTTTGGAAATTTTGTTGAGCGCTGTTAGTCGGGGGTTCACAACGGTTAGACGAGCTTGACCTGACGCTCGGGACGTGGATGGTCAGCCGGCGCGGGACCTGGGCTAGCTGTGTGCTGCGATCCTGTGAGTTTAGAAAGCTAACGGCGGTAGGCTTGCGACGCGGGGTGAATGCCGGCATCATCATGAGGTCCCGAACTCATGCCGCGTAGAGCCGCTCTTCCATGTTGCGGTGGTCTGTGGCACGATACGGTTGGAGGCGAGCATACTCGACTCGGGAAGGTTGCGGCCAGCCGATCCGGCTTGAGACCATCTCGCGCAACCGAGGTGTAACGTAACAACCAGGGTGGGTGCGGTGCAGTGGGCAATCAACAACGATCAAATTGTCTAATCTGCCATCGGCATTGGGCTGCGATGTACGCCTGTCCGGACGAAAGCGCCGTTGCCTCTGCGATGCGAGCTAGGTCATTTTGTTTTCCCGCGTGCAAGACAATATTATCGGGCATTGATGTCTTTCTGTTCGATTGGGGTGTGAAAGCATGTCTACCCTTGTTACTTGCATCAATGCACTAGCAGCTGGCAATTGCATGCTATGCGAGACTACACGGACGGCACCATATTTCGTCACCGCAGACTTTCGTTGGGGGAGTCATATTCAAAGCAGCGCCTAGACTCAATTCGTGTTCCTGGTGAGTGAGCTCGATTTGCAGCAATAGTAGCAAACTGCGAAATAACAACACCAGCATCATACCTTTTCGCCAGTTGTTTGCTAGAATTTGCAACTGCATGTTGCCATACCGAGACCAAATGGTTGCCACCAGTTAATATTACGTATAGCAGATAAGTTATAGCTGACATTGTTGTGCGAGGGGAGACTCGTGCAGGCCTCATTTTTTTGGGTTGCTATTCCCAAATCGCTAAAAAGTCTTCAAGATCGGCGACCTTTCTTTAATATCTTTGCGTATAAGATTGTGATTTACGTTTATGGACCCGATTATTGGCAGTCATTGGTTACCCCAGATGCCAGGGTTATAAGAGATGTTCGGAAAGAACGGGCAGAAGTCTGCACTTCTCAATCCGTCAGTCAGTGGTTACCCCAGATGCCAGGGTTATAAGGGATGTTCAGAAAGAACGGGCAGAAGCCTGCACTTCTCAATCCGTCAGTCATTGGTTACCCCAGATGCCAGGGTTATAAGAGATGTTCAGAAAGAACGGGCAGAAGTCCGCACTTCTCAATCCGTCAGTCATTGGTTACCCCAGATGCCAGGGTTATAAGGGATGTTCGGAAAGAACGGGCAGAAGTCTGCACTTCTCAAACCGTCAGTCAAGGTGGAATAGCTGGCCCATGTGACGGGCCTGGGCGCACGCGTGCCGCCCGGACACCGACCGGGGCGCGGAAGTCCGGCAGCGTGGAGCACGTATCCCGGACACCGACTGGGGCGTGGCGGTCCTGCAGCAAAGGCCGCAACGCGTACACTGCCTCTTCCCCACCGCGACCCACTGCGGTCAGTGGCTGGGGCCACGTGCCGGCCGTCCTGGCGTCCGGCCGCCGCAGACGTCACAGCGCCCAAGCCGAGTGCACGCGCTGGGACTGTGCCTGAGGCTGCCGGTACAGGCCAGCAGACGCCACAGGGATGGTCTCACGCTGAGGAGAGAAGCGGTGAAGCCCCATGGCAGTCAGCGCCTGGGCGGCGGTCAGGACCTCCCCGCTCCCTCTCCTGCTCCGGATCTGGCTGCGGACTGGACTCGCATCTCGCCGTCGGTTCACAGTCCCTCCTTGCTTTGTGGTCTGGCCTGACGGAATAGAGCTGTCGACCCGACCCCAGCACCACCGCAGAGGAGAAGCGCGTACAGATCGGACGGAGCTATCGATCCGATCCCGACACCACCGCAAAGGAGAAGCGCATACGGATCAGTTTACGTGTCTCGTCAAGGACAGACACGCTTCCCGAATTACAGCGACTGAGCTCTAACCTCGAAAGATGAACGGTGGCTGATCACTCGTCATCCCCTGTATAAAAAAACATGTTCGAAAATTGATCGCTTGGTTATTAACGCGGGTTTAGTTTGTCTTTGGGTGTGTGTGTGGGGGGGTGGGGGGGGGAGAATGGAGCCCTTTCGACCAGAAATGATCATGTCAGGGCTATGGGATAGCGGAAAATGGACAACGGTGGAGCAGGACTACATGCGCCTGAGAAGCCAACCGCCGAGGATTAGGCCACGCAGGGGCCCCTCGAAGTGTGCGCTGGGCGCCCGGTCGGGATCACCCACCCAGGAGGCTTCTCGGTCCACTCGAAGCGGACGCATGCATCCTGCCCCGGATAAGGGAGGCGTCGCAAGGATTCAGGAAAGGAAGCAAGAAAGAGGATAAGAGGGTCGGATGATGCAGGTTTGTGCCGGCCCCAGCGATATACCTCCCTTGTTCCCTTCACCGCCGGCGCTATCCCCCCTCTCCCTCCCTGCTAACTCTGTGACTCATCCTCGCTCCAAGCGTTGACCTGTAGCTACCTGCCATGCCGACTCTCAAGCAGTGCGGAAACAGCTCCCCCCACCAAACCCCGAACCCATAGCGGGGTCCTTGGGCGCATGACATGCATAAGATACAGCTTGAATTTGCTGTCTTCCACATAAAGCACGGCGTATTAATATCATACCAAGAACGATATCTTTTATTATTATTCATACTTCTTCATGAGAAAAACAGAAAGTTCGCTAAATTCCAGCTGATGTTTCGACAGATTTCGGTCTGCGTATGAAAACCGCCCAGAATATCAGAACCCTTGGCACGTTGTTCACGAGTCCGCAAACCACGTGGTGATAATGTTTCAGAGCCGACCCAGACGCTGCATAATGTCGGCACCACCACCATCAGAACACAGGCCTACGAGCAAATCAGACCGCGAAGAGATTAGACCGCAGTAACCGAAGTAGGATACCCGCGGCATGATGCTCAGGGTACACGCCCGCATCGTAAACCAGTACGCCCGTGGAAGATCAGTAATGCACTTTGAAGCAGATTAGGAAGCTCTTCTGAGAATGCGACCAATAAACGCTAATATCGCACACTGACATGAGACATGAGACCAAGCAGCCCGGTCTCATTGCCAGGAGCAGGCGCAGTGCGCACTGACGCGCCAGCCTCCTGCAGCTGGGCACGTGCTGGCGCGCGGCGGGGCTCTGCGCGTACAGCGGACGTCAGCTGTCACACCGCCAGCCGGCAGCCGCCATCCGTCCGGCGGTGGTCGTCAGCCCCGCGTCCCGCCAGGGCTGACGCGAGACTGCGCCGCGGAACAGGGCGGGAGTCGCGGGGCAGGCGCATGCCTCGGAAGACAGCGAGGACCGCGGGACGGGAGCCCACCTCGGAAGACAGCGAGGACCGCGGGACGGGAGCCTACCTCGGAAGACAGCGAGGACCGCGGGACGGGAGCCCATCTCGGAAGACAGCGAGGACCGCGGGACGGGAGCCTACCTCGGAAGACAGCGAGGACCGCGGGACGGGAGCCTACCTCGGAAGATAGCGAGGGCCGCGGGACGGGAGCCTACCTCGGAAGACAGCGAGGACCGCGGGACAGGAGCCCATCTCAGAAGACAGCGAGGACCGCGGGACAGGAGCCTACCTCGGAAGACAGCGAGGACCGCGGGACGGGAGCCCATCTCGGAAGACAGCGAGGACCGCGGGACGGGAGCCCACCTCGGAAGACAGCGGGTGGCCGCGGGACGGGAGCCTACCTCGGAAGACAGCGAGGACCGCGGGACGGGAGCCCATCTCGGAAGACAGCGAGACCCGTCGGACGCGGGAGCTCATCTCGGAGACGCGAGGACCGCGGGACGGGAGCCCATCTCGGAAGACAGCGAGGACCGCGGGACGGGAGCCCATCTCGGAAGACAGCGAGGACCGCGGGACGGGAGCCCATCTCGAAGACAAGCGAGGACCGCGGGACGATGCCTTTGACGGGTCACGTCGGCATCAGGCTACTCAGCGGTCATCGCCTTGAGCCCAGCACCACACGGGCGATGCAAAGCGAACGCTGTGCTCTCTTAGCTGACATAATTAATGATATTTGTGATAGCATTTCGACGTTATATCGTGGACGTTTCAAGTTACAACTGAATGGTTGAGAGCTGACGCGACGAAGAGAAGCGATCTCAGTGTGGCAGTGCCAAATATGCGGGGGTGGAAACGGAACTTGAGTGTTGATTACGACCATTTAGTCACGACGATTAAATTTGATTAAATTTAATTCGATGGTTAGATTTGATTACGGCGAATACACAACTGATTATGTTGAACGTTAATTGGTTACTGCCTACAAGCTACACTCTTAGCCAGTTTATGACACCGCGGCACTCTGTTGCTTCCTGACTGTAGGAGACACCGCCTAACTGTAGCAGACATCATGGGAGCAAATATGACAGAGTGTCCCAAATATACAGCGAAATTAAAACAAAGCACGCCAAGGCCTAAGACGCCTCTCGACCCGACTGGGCAGACTTAATGCCCATGCATCATACATTATGTTTAAAAACCATGGAGGCAGCACAGTGGTGTTCTATACATAGTTTATGCATGCTATCTGATTCAATCCACTAAAAGACAACGTCTTTTAAAGGCTTGTTTCTCTTGTGTTCTGTAAGATTAATTGCGTCTTGTGGTTTGCTAAGCACAATCGACAGAACACTTGTTAAGACACGACGGCGTTCTTATTTATAATTTCCAGTTACTTAAAATTGCCCTAAAACATGAGCTTAGAGACCCTATTCTGACAATAACCTACCCGCAATATACCAGGCGGTAATGATGAAAGGAAGCTAGCCAACAAATCTTGGTTAAATTGTCAGAGCTGTGAGATTCAAGGTGAGTTTTAACAACATTACCAATGTTTGTCAGTTAGCATCTCTTTAGCAGTTTACCTCCCAGCACACTGAAAATTTAGTTTTTT